GAGTTTCTTTTAAGGGAAGTAAAGGCAATTGTTAGAGGATCATGGTGCTCTTTTCCATAACTGTGCTTAAATATAATGTTAAAATAAATGTAAACTTCTAACAACAACAACAACAACAAAGAACAACAACAACAATAAACAACAAAACACTCACCAAGCGAGACAAACACAAGCTAACATGAGTGAACTAAAAAATACCTGGCAAGTCTGGCCAGTGTAGTTCAGTGGTTGAGCCTCAACCCATGGGCCAGGATGTCACCAGATTCCTGATCAGGGCACATGCCTGGGTTTTGGGCTTGATCCCCAGTAGGGGGCATTCAGGAGGCAGCCAATTGAGGTTTCTCTCTCATTGTTGTTTCTATCTCTCTCACCCTCTCCCTTCCTCTCTCTCTATTGTTGCTTCTATCTCTCTCACCCTTCCCTTCCTCTCTCTCTAAAATCAATTTAAAAAATACTTGTGAAAAATCCATATAAATGACAGACTAAGGACTTAAAGATTTACTCATATAATTTTTTTTTACTTGGGATATGAATATAGACCAAAACATTCCAGGTTCATCCACACATGGAATTCTACATTGTTCCAAAGGACATTCTCTGACTGGAAGCTGTTAAAGTCAATTGGTGAGTGTGTCTTAGCCTGGAATGATGATGTTGAAACATCACTTGTTATGGCTTATTTTGAATTTATTTTTTCTTCTTTATACTGACTTTATTGGGTGACATTGGTCAATAAAAATATATATGTTTCAGGTATACAACTCTATAACACATCAGCTGTACCTTCCATTGTATGTTCATGGTCCCATGTCAAGTCTTCTTCCATCACTATTTATCCCCCCTTTACCTTCTTCTACCACCCCCACCCCCCAATCCTCTGGCAATTCCTACTGTTGTCCGTGCCCATGAGTCTTCCTTTTTTTATTTCCTTTATAGAATACTTGCTATTGGGTGTGAAAACCATTGTACTGTAAAACAAAAACAAAACACAAACCTCCAAAGGAGTTGTCTGAAGGGTAGTATGATTTAAAAGCCACTAGGGCAAACCTGTTTAGCAAAGCAGTCATGACGAGAGAAAAAGGTGTACATCTAGGATCTGGCCATTTTTCCCATGTCCACTGCAATTCCCATGGGCTAAGCCACCATTTGCTTTTTCTGGAGCACTTCCACACAGCACTTCTACACTGGTCCCAGAGTTTCCTCGTTGGAGGAGCCAGAGTGACTCTGTTACAATTAAGCCTTATCAGGTATAACATCCTCTAATGACTTGCCATCATTTTGGCATAAATCCATCTATTTTTGTACATATGGTCTTAAATGGCCTACAAGGTCTTCCACTCAACGCTAGCTCTTTACCTCAACACATTCCACTCTGCCCCTCACTCTCGCTGGTCTCTCCACACTGGCCTTGCTCTTACTCAAGTCTTCAAACCCTCTTTTGCAGCATAGCCTTTGCATTAGCCATTCTCTCTGGCTTAAGGCGTCTCCCTGAAATTCACATGGTTGCTTTTTCATTTCCGTTCTCTACTCAACTGTTATCTTATTTAAGAAATCTCTTCTAACCGCACTGTTGGAATAACAGCCCCACCTCCACCCAAGGGATTCTTTATTACCCTGTCCCTGCTTTATTTTTTCAGACACATGCATCTGATTTATTGAATAATATATTGTCAAGTTGTGTTGTCTTTCTCTACTACAATGTAAGATACCAGAGCAGAAATTTTTCTGCTTTGCTAATTGTTGAGTTCCCAAGGCCTCCAACATGGTGTTGCCTAAAGTAAGAGCATGATAAATGTGTTGAGAAAGGAGTGCTTTTGGCCTTTGACGGAAATTACTCTGCAGCAAGAGAAAAATGTATCCACATTCTAAGAGCTAAATGATGCTGAGAGCTGGAGAACGAGGTTCCTGTGAGGTGATGCCGTTTCCAAGAGTCTTTGAGAAGCAAATGAATAGAAGCTGCCTTATGGTTTCGTTTTTCCACTAAATCTTTCCAATAAGCGTTTAGGTCATGGAAACCACTTACAACAATGGTACTTGACAAATCTATTTTGTGTTCAGTCTTTCTCACTTCATGTTAAAACTTTTCTCACAAATGCACAGAGAATATTATTACATCAGGGGTTGTCCAGGAGGTAGTCAATTACTCTTCCTTTTTATTTCATTATTGCCTTTCTTGTTTTTTAGAAGATGCCATTCCTTAGTCAAAAATATGAGAGAAAAAAATAGTAGGGAAACAGTAGAGGGCTGACGTTAAATATTCAGCATCCTTATTATTAAACGACGGCTACTAAGTTTCCCTGTTTCTTATTCGGGAGACAGGCATGGTCTTTCAGAATGTTGAGCTACTTCATGAGAGCCAGCATGGATAGGTCGACAATTATGTTTCTCATCAAACTTATGGTTAGTGAAAATTACTTCAGTGTACTGTAGGCATATGGATACGTTTAACTGTACAAGGCTATTATAAGATACTGCAGTTATCTGTCTTTTTAGGATTTTGTGGTTGTACACTGGCAGAATGTTCACGAGTAATTGGTACTCTGGCTTAATTTAAACTGGAAGTAGACCTTTCTTTTTAAAACTACTACTGGCTTTAATATGTCATTTTTAAAGTTTCAAATAAAAATAGTGTCTTAGTATATCATTAAGAAAACTGTTGCTTATAGTGCACAAACAAGGGCTATGTTGCATAAAATGATAATATAAATGTATCATTTATATGAATAGTTTTATTAGTTCAGTACAAGAAGTGAGTATAAGTCTCTTATACATATTAGCAAACAACTATATTTTACATCTGTGAAAGAGGAGGAAGGTGGGAAGGTGGGAAGGAGGGAAAGAAAAAAAAGAGAGATAAAGGAAGGGAGGGAGGAAAGAATGGGAAAATATTTTCAATAATGCATTAGTATAGCTAATATTTGTGGTAGTTAATTTATACCTAAACAAGTAGACTCATTACCTATAGATTTATTGTGGCAATTAAGATCATGATCATCATTACTCATAGCACAAGAATAAAGAAGACACTAATTACACATGGAAACATGTAAAATATACTACCTAGTGAAAACATAAGTAAAAGTGTGATAAGAAGCACCCTATCAATGACCATAGATTTACCAACACTATTACTACATGAAGATTATGTGTGTGTGTGTGTGTGTATGTGTGTGTTTATAATGAGCCCATGTGTATGCTGTGAAAAGCTCTCTGCAGAAAGAGGTGGGCCTATTTTTCAATATTAAATGTTGACATTTGGTTGATACATTAAAAGTTGATATAAAAGTGGAATAATTACAGAGTACACTACTAAAATCCATCTGCCCCACTAAGAAATATGTGATTGAAAATAACACACTATTAAATATAAATTTATAAAAGCCTCCCACGTGTATGCTGTTAAAAGCTCTCTGCAGAAAGAGGTGGGCCTATTTTTCAATATTAAATGTTGACATTTGGTTGATACATTAAAAGTTGATATAAAAGTGGAATAATTACAGAGTACACTACTAAAATCCATCTGCCCCACTAAGAAATATGTGATTGAAAATAACACACTATTAAATATAAATTTATAAAAGCCTAAAATCATTTGAATACGTATATAGCCATCCAACTTAATATGAACATCACAGATTAAACATGAAAGGCTTAACTGGAATATATTTATATCTGTTAAGACTGCAGCTGCCAGTATCAATGACACAGATGACAGTGTCTTAAGCAAGAGAGAGGTCTGTTTTTCTCTCGCAAAATGTAAAGTCTTGGAAGGAGTCACTCCATGGCTGATTTGTATGGGATTCCGTGGAAACACTGCTGTGCCTGATTCTGCCTTTTAGTTCTGCCATCCTGAACAGTGGGTTCCATCCCCAAGGTCGTTTTGCTGTCGTAGCCTCATGCTGGACCTCCGCCACATGTCAGGGTTCCAAACAGGAGAGGACATTCAAAGGTCCAAATGCATAGACTTCCCAACTCAGAAAATGCTCTTGGTAAAACGTTCCTGGAAGGCCCACCACTCGATGGCTTTCACTTATAGCTCCTCAGCCACCTGCTTTTATGCCTCACTAGAAAAATCTAGGCTTTTAGAGGGGCACAGTGTGCGTCCCAGCAATGTAAGAGCTTATGAGTAAAACAGGTGATGGCAGGCAGACATCAGCCTGTTTCACAATCGGTTTCCAAGATCTAGCAACCTTGAGTGTTGGGAGCCATTAGAAATTACATATACATCTTCAGCTTACAACACAATAGGTTTCTGGTCCCCCCAAGCCAGCTCCTGGGAACCAATTAAGCCTTGTGGTTTAGCCTGGAGTTAAAAGATAACCTACCCTCACCCTAAGTACACAGCTGCTAAATCTCCGCTGACAAGCACACATCTCCACTGATAAGCACACAGCCATCCGGAGCCTGCTAAATCTCTAGTGATAGGTTACCGCCCATGGACCCCTTTACCCACCCCCTTCCTCCTCTAGAATATAAATTCTACACGCTGTAAAAAATAAAGTTGAGGCTTGATCAGAACACTGTCTTGCCTCCATTCTTTCGTGTCCCTTGTTTGTCTCATTCTCCCAGGGTGTCTCTGCGTTCCCCCATTGTTGTCCTACGGGTCGGGACACTTGAGAAAAGAACAATGCCAGAAGGAGGGATGCTGCACTTTCTATGACAAATCTTATGAAAAAAGATTTTCTATATTGAGAGTCAGTTTGAAACATGTTAACTATTTAAATTTCACAAGAAAAGTTTTCTCACCCACTCTTCTAATTCTCCAGGTTAAAAAAAATTACACTGTTTTCCTATTTCATGGCATTGATAGGTACTCAGTGTATTTTAAAACTTTTGATGCGTTTTCTTAATATTATAAGACTCAAAATATTAAAATTTATTATTTTGATATCTTTTCACAAAAGATATGAAAACTTACCATATTTGAATTTTAGTCTGCCTTTTGATTGTTTTATAGTACTTTCCTAATATTTCTATTTTGTGTTTTTATTTACCACACAAATTAGGCATTGTCATTGGTGCTGTAGATTTAATCACCAGTATCTTATTTTCTTCTTTAGTAGGTTATTATTTTTGTATCAGATTACATGTAATATGTCCCTTATGTCTTTTAGAGTTGCACTATGATGAATCTCTGTGGATATTTCTTCTTTTATAAATTATTTTACTAAGGGTTATTTCTTCTGAATATGTGGTTTTATGCTTTTAATCCATTCCATGATATTCTCAGATATTTTTCTTTTTAATATTCTCTCTCCCTTTCCTATTCCTTCATCTGCAAATTAAACACTGGCATAGTACAGACACGCAGTTTATTTTTTATGTTTCTTCACCTCTCAAACATAGACTTTTTGTCTTATATTTCAGTGGCTAGACCCTAGATCTAGGAGTACAGCATGGAGAATGCCTGTTGGCCAGTGTTGTCTTTCCTTTTGCAAGACTGTGCAATATTGTCCGATGCTGACCCTCCAGACTGGGGCGGACGTGCTGATTTTAGGTGCCTTCCATTTGTGTGGACACAGGACTAAGAACCCGTCTATGTACTGACTGGAATATAAAACATAAAACAAATACTTAACTATTCCTTTATGTACACTCTTCTGTGTATTGATATATCACTGTGCCGCACAATTTTGTCATATATTTTAAATAAATTATTCATGCATGGAGATACACCACAGAAAGTATTTCCTGAGGCAGCACACACCTTACAAGCCCCAGGCGAAGACATGGATTCTTCATAGAGAGGACATCTCTAGGGCAGCATAGCCCTGATTGTCTTACCACGTCAAATGGATCTCATTTTTCATTATTAGTATCTGTGGGTGTTTTAGCCTCTTCAAGAATTTATGAAAGATTTTAAAGAATATAGTTATTTTTCCAGAATCTGACTAAAAGTGGCTATGTTCTCTTTTCTTTCTTTTTTTTTTTAAATCTCTAATCCATACCGAAACAAGAATACTTTCTGTGTAGTAGGTGCTCACAAAATGTTATTGATTTTTAATTGTATTAAAAGATAGGGCTTATTTTATAAACTAGAGGCCTGGTGCACGAATTCATGCATGGGTGGGGTCCCTCGGCCTGGCTGGTGATGGGGGCTGAGGGGCCAATTGGGCCAGGCCAGCCCCGGGGGGGAATGGAACCTGGGAAGTTGGCTGTGAGAACACACTGACTACCAGGAGGCAGCTCCTGTGTTGAGTGTCTACCCCCTGGTGGCCAGTGCATGTCATGTCATAGCTACTGGCTGGTCTCTGGTCATCCAGTCACCTGGTCGTAACTGTTGTTTAGGCTTTTATATATATACTAGAGGCCCAGTGCACAAAAATTTGTGCAC